ACATGAATAATTTTGGTGTTTCATACGGCGGCTGTTTTCTATGAAAACATTCCATCAAAAGATGACTTTTTCTGAATAATACAAACAAATCCGTGTCTTTTAACGAGAGACAAATCATTTTGTCAAATGATGTACAATAACTATACCAATCGCGTAAATAATTTCACAGTATTGATAAAATAACATTTAGTAAAATGTAATTATTAATTTTGACATTAGTTTGGACATAAATTTTATTAACAATTGTTTTATTAAAAAAAAATCATTTTATTGATTTATTATTTAAACATTCTTATTTATAAGTGCTTGAAAATATTCTAAAGTGAGAGAAAAAATAAAAACAAAATCATTTTTGACCCAATCATATTTATGTTTAGAAAACGCGTACAGTCCTAAAGTTGTGTAACGCATCTAAATATTATCTACGGATCATAAAATTTTCTTAACAGTTGATTTATCTGTTGTAAGAAATTTTATATTCTAAATAGGTTGTCGCTATAACTTAAAATATCTATTCAATTTCTATATGAAAACAGTCTATTGTAATTACAAAGAATCTATAATGGTCAAACGAACCCTCATTTTTTTTTTCCTATTTTTTTTTGGTGAATCAATTCATTATTATTAGAAAACTTTACGGATTTTTAAATTAATGTTACACTTAATAAGATTAATTAATTTTTATGACAAATAATAAAACTTTATTATAAAAAAACCTTTGAAAGTCCTTTCATCGGTTTATAACACAAACAAAATTTCATCATAAAAAAATAATAAAGTAACATTGTAAACACTTTCAATTTCACAAAAATTTTCAAATTGCGCGTTGTTCAAATAAAATAACGCACAACTCAATAATAAAACTTTAGAGAAGGTCAAATATAAAAATATAATTATTTGTATTATTATTGACTTTTGTCATCCGATAAACTTCTGGATGATAGTAAGAATATCCAGCAAATGGAGTAAAATTCTCTGTAAAGAAAGCTTTATCCGGGATGGCTAGACAAGAGGAATATAGCTGGTCAAGAAAATTATAGCGGGGTAAGAATACCCCCTGATACAGCCAGGCAAGAAGAGTATTCAGATCCTGCTACTGTTGTCTTAGGTAATTCATCCTGATTTAGTAAATTTATTGAAAGAAATTGGTTATTACAAAATTTGTAGCGATTTCAATGAACTTGTAATGCAAGATTGCTTTATCGAATTTTTTTTCGCTTAATCTAACAATTCATTGGGAGTATTAAGAGAAATATCCCGGGCAGAATATGGTGCCCCAGCCAGCTGGAACCTTCAGTAAATGATGATTATTTAAGTTTCGAAAATCTTTAACTCCTTGTTTCAAATACCTTAATAATAAACACTCCTTTAAATTAAGTAACGCGCTATTTAGAATAATTTTCCTTTTTTTTTTAAAAAAATTTTATTTATTTAATTTGCTATGTTATTTATGTTATTTATGCGCAATTTATTTGATTTTTTTAATAATTAACAGTTAATAAATAATAAAAAATTAATTTTAAATGT